TTTTTAGAATAAAATTTAAGTCGACGTTTTATTATCCAGAATTATTTTCGATGAATTTTAATGAAATTATGTAATTAATTTGGCTAGATTTGAGCCGTTCGGAGGTCATTTCACGCAAGAAGGCTATTCTAGAATATCAGCCTAACTTCAAAAAGGTAAGTATCTTGTCTAACCTTGAGTGGGAGAATTACCCTTTAGGCATTGAGTCCTATGTGCCATTTTGTGAAATGTGAAAGCCGTGTATGCGAGGTGACGAGTACGTACTCGGGCTTATATGTGCAAATTTTATTGGTTTAAAGGCTTAGACATTTTTATGTATTCAATTGGAAATTGTTTACACTTATTGAATCCTTTATTTGTCGTGCTTCATTTCTTGTTTGTAGAATTTATTTTTATATGATAATTTGGTGTGATTTCCACTTTGATTTTTATGTGAATCCCGTATTTTTGTTGAGTTGACATTTCCTAGAGATAATTTCATTATTGATTATTCATCTGTAAATAATTAATTAAATAAGTTCAAAAAGAGGCATTAATATATTTATCTAAAATTTAGATTAAAGAAGGTGTTGTCCTATGGTGAGTTACTTTTCCATCCTTGATGTTGTTTTGAGACTTTTTATATACGTTGTGTGGAGCCATGGGCTATTTGCTATGAAATTATTTGATTTTGTTGTACCTTTGAAAATGGTTGTGGCCTATGGGCAATTTGTGATATGAATTGATTGTGTTGTGTTGTTGTGATAATATTCCGTGTAAATTGTTGTGTGATTTGAGTTATTATTATGAGGACATAAGGGTGGCATCCTACTGTTGATAGTATGCGGACATAAGGGTGGCATTTTATTGTTGTTATCTGTGTTGGGGTATTGTTTGGGATGAGAGATAAGGGAGGCTATTATATGGAGAGATAAGGAGGCTATTATAGGAGAGAGAGAGAAGGGTGGCTATATGAGCGATAAGGGTAGCTATAAGAGAAATAAGAGTGGCTATTGATATTGTCAGGGCGGAGGGATAAGGGTGGCTAATATATGGAGTGATACGGGTGGTTATAGGAGAGATAAGGATGGCTATTGTCAGGAATGATATGTGATGATGTGGTATTATTGTGTTGATAATTTTTGTGTAATGTTGTGATTCTCCTTGTGTTTATTTTTATATCTTGAGCAACTGGTCTTGTTGTTTCAGTAAACTTGATAATAGTCTGATCCGTGTTGAAATTATGAGTATGTGGCTATTGTCGGGCAGATTATGTTATTGGCACATGAACTATCCGTGCAGATGTGATATGAAATGTGGGCACGAGGTGCCAGAGAAATATAATGATTATGTTATTGACACGTGAACTGTCCGTGCAGATGTGATATGAAATGCGGGCACGAGGTGCCGAAAAAATATAATAATTTTTATTATTGGCACGTGAGTTGTCCGTACAGTTTTGATAGAAATATGGGCACGGGGTGCCGGAGAAATATAATGATTTTTATTATAGGCACGTGAGTTGTCTGTGCGATTTTGATAGAAATATGGGCACGAGGTGCCGTGAAAATATGAAAGTGGGCTAAGACGCGTGTTACGAAAATATGAAAGTGGGCTGAGACCCGTATTTTATAATTATGAAATGAGATGTCATAGAGTGACTTTTATTTGAAAGAATTTATATTCGAAAGATATTTATTCGAAAAAAGTATATTCGAAAGATATTTATTTGAAAGAAATTATATTCGAAAGATATTTATTTAAAATAATTTATATTCGAAAGATATTTATTTAAAATAAGTATATTCGGAAGAAATTTATTCGAAAGAATTATATGTGAAAGATTTATATTTGAAGGACTTGATTAATTGGTTGTACTTGTGTTCCTTATTCGATTGAGNTATATTCGAAAGATATTTATTTGAAAGAATTATATTCAAAAGATATTTATTTAAAAGAAGTATATTCGAAAGATATTTATTTGAAAGAACTATATTCGAAAGATATTTATTTAAAAGAAGTATATTCTAAAGGTATTTATTCGAAAGAATTATATGTGAAAGATTTATATTTGAAGGACTTGATTAATTGGTTGTACTTGTGTTCCTTATTCGATTGAGCAATACTTATGGTATTCTTGTTGCCTTGTTGTTTATATCACTGGTTGATTTTTGTTGCTATTATTGCTAGTTGTTTTCCAGTACTATTATATACTACTATATTGCACAGGTTATTTGACTAGTGAGTGTCTTGACTGTACCTCGTCACTACTCCACCGAGGTTAGTCTTGATACTTACTGGGTATCGACTGTTGTTTACTCATACTACACTTTTGCACATTTTTGTGCATAGCCAAGTACTGGAAATATCGGATTCGGACAGAGTTAGAGTGTGATCGCAAGGATTCAAGGTAGAGTTGTTTGGTCGTCGCAGTCCCTTGGAGTCTTTCCATTTTATTGTACTGTCAACTCTTATTCGAACAGTATTGTATATTCGATCCTTGAGATCATTGCATGTATTTAGTTAGAGTTTGTGACTCTGTATTACCAGTCTTGGGAGGTTGTTATAATCATTTTCGTTGTTAGTTTCGACACTTGTATTAAATTATCTATTTAAGAATAAACAAAATGGCTTGAATTGTAATTGTAATCGTCTTACCTAGTAAGTGTCATCACGACGCCTGTGGTGGGATTTTGGGTCGTGACAGTTCCGTCCTTATTTCCTTCTAATTTAAATGCATCTCAATCGTTAGCCTCCAAACAACCAGATACTCGTGCCCATGTCATGGTTACTCGTTCTATGGCAGGGTCTCTAAAACCACGTGTTCTCCCTTCACTTACTGTCTCTCCTTCTAGTCCACATTCTGAACCAACATCCTTCACACAAGCAGCAAATGATCCTAGGTGGCTTAATGCAATGAGCGAAGAGTTTAATGCTCTCCTACAAAACCATACATGGACATTAGTTCCACTACCTCCCAATGTGAATATTGTAGGAAATAAATGGGTTTATCGGATTAAGTGCGGCGCTAATGGTTCTATCGACCGCTTCAAAGCTCGTTTGGTTGCGCAAGGCTTCTCTCAACAACTCAGTTTAGATTATACAGATACCTTTGCCCCTGTGATCAAATTAAGCATTGTCCGTCTAGTGCTATCTTTGGCTCTTCTTAATCATTGGTGTATGCATCAGTTGGATGTCTCTAATACCTTTTTGCATGGTGAACTAAATGAAGTTGTTTATATGCGGCAACCCAGAGACTTCGAACATCCAGATTATCCACACGATGTGTGCAAGCTAAGGCGTGCCCTTTATGGGTTGAGACAATCTCCTAGGGCGTGGTTTACTCGGCTTGCAACATATCTTTTGGACCTTGGTTTTGAGCAGTCTACCTCAGATCACAGTATGTTCATCTTTCGCAGAGAGAGTGCTATCTTGATTCTCCTAATTTGTGTTGATGAAGTTGCTATTTTTGGATCCTCCAAACTAGTTGTTTCTGAATTTATAGCGTCCATGAAATCTGAATTTGCAATGAAAGATCTCGGTCCGCTTCGATATTTTCTAGGCGTGGAGATAGTTCACAATCGTGATGGGGTTCTTTTGTTGAAAAGGAAGTATATATCGGACCTTTTACATCGGTTCAATTTGGATGAAGTTAAGCCTGTACAGACTCCTCTTTACAGCAAACTTGATTGGCACTCTATAACTACACCACTCCTTGATGATCCTTCTCTATATCACCAGATGGTTGGAAGCCTTAAATATTTATCCTTTACACGATCTGATATACAATTTGATGTGAATATGGCTTCACAATTTTTGCACCAACCTCGACTAGTTCATCTTCAAGTTGTTAAGCGGATTTTCCGTTATCTTAAAGGAACTCATGCTCATGGTTTGCTGCTCTACAAACAGTCTTCCATCTCTTTAACAATATTTTTCAGATTCGGACTGGGCGGGCTGCACATCAACTCGTCGATCAAACATCTGGATTTTGTATCTTTCTTGGGAACAATTTGATCTCTTTGTCTACAAAGAAACAACCAACTGTTTCACGTTCAAGCACAGAAGCTGAATATCGTGCTTTGGCTGTTACTACTGCTGATGCTACATGGATACAATTCATCTTACGTGACTTGGGTATTTATCTTCGTACTCCTATTCTTGCAAAATGTGATAATATTGGCGCCATACAGCTTACACATAATCCAGTGTTTCACTCCAGATCAAAACATATCGCTTTGGACTATCATTTTATTCGTGAGAAGATTAGCCAGGGTGACCTTACTTTTTCTCATGTTCCAACCTCACAACAGCTTGCGGATGTCTTCACCAAAGCTGTCTCTGCTAAAAAATTCAAGGAGTTTCTTAACAATCTTCATGTTCGTTCCTCCCCTTCAGATTGAGGGAAGGTGACAAGATATTATTGTAAATAGTATTCATATACACACGTTGTAGTTAGTTTTGGTATTTGCTTGTCAGTTTCATATTTTGTATAAATAATAGTTCATTCTTGCCTTTGCACGCCTTTGCAACTTATTGGCTTTGTAATTCTATACTTTAAACTTCAACTCTATTCCATTGAATATCTACTATCTCCCGCTAGTGATTCTTCCCTTCACACTTTTCGCTTCCTCGTTTGAGCACCAAACACCCCCACCCCCCCACCCCACCCCACCCTAACAACCAGCCCCACTAAAGGAAAAAAAGATAAGGACGTAGTGCTTAAAATGAAGGTTAGACATATATCACGAGTTCGAACCCTTTAAATGATTGAAACTTGGTATTTAAGTGGGAGCAAGATAGAGAGACAAGCCCATAACCGTCCGAGTTCCGAACCTGTAAGCACATTAGAGCTAGGCCAGCTAACTCACAGGGTATTCTCGGTTTTGAAAAGAAAAAAGAGAAATTGGACTCTTATCACTCCTTCAAAGAAACAAGGGTTGTAACCTCCTAGTGTAATTCCTAGATGCAGTGCACTGTGCTAAACAATCATTAGGCCGACTACCGAAAACACGACCAAGTCAGTACAACATTTTCACTTTAAATTCTCCATGAACAAAGTTATCCCACAGTACATCTTTCATATAGCACTTCCATTTTTGTAGATATAAGACCTAGCAAAGTACAAGTATAAAGTGAAAGACAAAACACTAAGTCCAGAAAGAAGCCAATAAAAGTAATCAAGATGTGCTCGGTTCAAGTTGTCTGAAAACCAACTATCCTGACCGTTTTTGGCAGTGGCTTTCGCAATAAAAGAGATGAGAAAACTGCTCAAGAAGTTTCCTACACCAGCTAAGCTGAGATACAGAGCAAGACCAACACTTCTCAGCTCTACCGGCACCTGATCATAGAAGAACTCCTGCAGACCAACCAAGGTGAATATCTCAGATATTCCATAGAGTAGATACTGAGGTATTAACCACCAGATGCTCATGGGAATAGTTGCTTTTGGATTATCAAGCAGCCCATACTCCAGAGCAGTTTGTAGACGAATCTTTTCAACAATTGCTGCAGTTACTATGGCAAGTATAGATACGAAAATTCCTGTTCCAATCCTTTGAAGCATTGTGATGCCCGAAGGTTTCCTAGTTATAGATCTTGCTAGCGGAATCAAAATACAGTCATATATAGGAATGAGGAAAACTGTAGAGATGCCAAGAAAACACTGCAAAGAAGCAGCTGGGATTTTAAAGTTTGAACCAATAGATCTGTCCATCGTAACACCTTGTTTGGTGAACAAAGTAGATGTCTGTGAAGACACAATGGCATACACCAAACATGTACTCCAAATTGGGATCAATCTAACAACTGATTTAGCCTCTTCAACCTCATTGAAGCTACAAACACTATTGTTGTCCTTGGAACCCTCCGGTGTAAGCAATGCTTTGTGAAGGAACCTGTGATGAATAAAAATGCGTCAATTTGAAGATGTCTCTTGCAGTAGATAAAAATCTTTCAGTTGAAAGGAAAGAGTATGCAAATACTTCAGTATGGTATCAACTACAGCACTGGACTTCACTGTCAATACCAAACTCAATAGAGTAGTAATCATGTCAAACCTACTAGAGTAGCCACATCAAAATAATCAACCATCCTAATGTGTGTGACAAGTCTGAAAGTTATTGTCTACTTAATTTCCAAAATGAGCGATGAATGTAAAATCAAGAGCTTTAATTTGTTCAAACAAGACGACAACAGGAGAACAACTTACTTTAGTTGTTGAGAACCTTCATGTGGTATAATACCATGCACTTGTAGTTGCATGGACACTGCTGATGTAGTTCTTCGCCAGTTCCTAGCTGCATTTATAAACACCCCACCTATTCTGACAAATGCCTTCTTTTCATCACAATTTTGACGGATACGGTAAGTGAATGTACCAAATAAGAAAACAGTAAGTGCAAGAACCATTACAATACAGGGAATTCCAAATCCAAGAGCCCAGCTAAGATTGTCTTGGATGTAACTCAAAATTAATATTGCCACCAGGGCACCTGCAGATAATCCAAAGTTCCACCAATTAAAAAACGAACTTTTGGCTTTACATTCTTCTGGGTCTTGTGTATCAAACTGGTCTGCTCCAAAAGCTTGTACACAAGGCTTGTGACCTCCCTGTGCAAATGCTACCAGATACAGAGCAAAGAAGAACAATACAGCTTGGAACTCAGGGGGTGAACATGCCTTGATAGTATCCGGATTTTGGCAATCAGAAGAGTTGAAAGGAAAAACAGCTAAAACAGTCAAGAAGCAAAGTCCCTGCAGTTAATGAGTACCAGGACCCAAATCAATATACTGTTACCATTTCCAGTGAAAAGCACTCCCAAATAAAATTCTTTTGCAAATGGATAATAGCAGATTCCACATACATGTCAGGAATTTTTAGTCAACACGAGTCCATGATCATACAATATCATACCAAAGCTAAAGCTTTCTCTATACCTTGTACTAAATGCTTCCTTCACTCATTCAAGTGGTATCGTAGTATGATCATTTCTTTCATCACTCTTATCACGGTTGAAGAACGAGCTTGAAACTGGGAAAGTGAGGAAGGCGTAGTGCTACTTGGCAAGGACAGTGAGGGAGAAAATGGATAGGCCTCAGCCCACTCACCGAAGAAACTCTAACATGTTGAGTGATTCAAGACTTCAAGTAGTCACTAGTAGGCCAATAAATGCAATTTTAGAGATCCTTCCACCAAGAAGTATTGCTGTTTGGAAGTGTCGGTCTTTTCACAGTCGAAGCCAAATAGCCAATGTGTTTGTTTTTTTTTTTTCCTTGTAATTAAGTAATTTTATTTACCAAGGGAAAATATATGTACAAGCAAAACAAAACCCATAAAGTTGGACATCCCCAACTTTTTACATTCATCTTCTCTTCCTCCCTATCCCCTTAGTTACAAAAATAGACAGAATTTAACTAAGGAAAGAAATTCATCCTTCTCAATTGCCCCGCAAGTTTTCGATCCCACTATCCCCTGCAGTGAACATCTTGTGTTATTAATCTTCTTAGAACTTCAACACTTCTCGACTTCTTTTGGAAGATTCTTATGTTCCGCTCTTGCTATAAGTAGTACACACATCCTGTCATTGTTAATCTGTAGATTCCAGCTTTAGTATCCTTTCCATTTGCATTTGTAACTGTCCATGCCAGTTCTTGATTCCTTCCCATTGGTCCTCTGTTTATTTTCATCCATGTGAGCATTTTTCCCCATAGGGTAGCAGAGAAGTTGCACTTAAAAAATAGGTGCTCAATGGATTCATCGTCATTGTCACACTGGACAAATTAGCTCAGTCGTCACACCCCACTTTGCTAATCTATCTCTAGTATATAGCCTCCCCAGTGCTGCCAATTGTAGTGTGAATATCCATTTAGGATATCCTGAATTGTTGCATATTAGTCTCCTCCAACTCACCTTTGGATAATCTCCTCTAAGTTTGTTGTATATCTTCTTGATTGAGAGGTGACTGGTCTTCAAGATGTCTTCATATAAGTATCCTGCTTTCTCCAAGGTATCTTTTGCCTTCATCACCTTTTTAACCATCCAGGACGCTTGTGGAGGGTCACACCCCCAAATATGTTTACCCTTCACATAGTAGCTATGAACCCATTGTATCCAAAGTCTATCCTTCTTTTGGCACAGGTTCCAGAAATGCTTGCATATTGCAGCTTTATTCCATAGGCATATATCAATGACATTGAACCCTCCCGCTGACTTAGGATAGCACACATTATCCCATGATAGTGATGCCTTCTTTGTCATCTCATTGTCTCCCGTCCAAAGATACCTTCTACATATAGATTCAATCACATTAAGTATCTTTTTAGGCACAATAAATGTCTGGCACCAGAAGGTTTGCATTGAGAACGGGATACTTTTAATAAGCAGAAGTCTCCCTGCATAGGACAAGAACTTTGCTGCCCATGTTGCAACTTTTCCCACTAATCTGTCCACTAAAGGTTGGCATTGTGAGACTGATAGTCTTTTGGAACTCAGTGGTACACCTAAGTACTTTACTGGTAGTGCACCTTTAGAAATTCCCAATATGTTCAGAATAGCTTGTTGAATATCCTCAGGTACTCCTCCACAGAAGATTGAACTTTTGTGTTTATTCACTACAAGTCCTGAGCAGTGGGAGAACCGGAGAAAACATTCATATAATAACTGCACAGATCTTATATCACCCCTGCAAAACAAAAGTAGGTCGTCAGCAAAACCTAGCTGTACAATCTGCAATTTCTCACATCTGGGATGGTAGTTAAAATCTGGTATCAGCCTCAGGGTCTTCAATTTTCTTGTCAGAAACTCCATTGCTATTACAAACAGGAAGGGGGATAGAGGGTCCCCTTGCCTTAGTCCTCTCCTGGCCACAAATGGTTGCGTAGGTCTTCCGTTAAGTAAAATGGAATATGTTACAGTGGTAACACAACCCATAATCCACTTCACAAATACATCAGGGAAACCCAAACCTACCATAACTTGCTCCAGAAATACCCACTCAAGCGAGTCATAGGCTTTTTGCATGTCCAATTTCATCACACATCTTGGTGATAACCCTTTTCTTCCGTAGCCTTTAATCAACTCATGGCTTAGGACAATGTTGTCAGCCTACCAGGGACAAATGCAGATTGACATTTATCAACCAAAGTATCCATCACCCCTTGTAGTCTCTTGGTTAGTACTTTTGAAATGATCTTGTAAAGGATGGTGCAACATGATATGGGTCTGAATTCCTTTATAGATTCAGGATTCGGTACTTTATGTATGAGTGTCACTAAAGTGCAGTTAATAGTTTTGAGCATGTTGGCGGTGTTGAAGAACTGAAGGATAGCTTCTGTAATCTCCTCCCCAATCACAGGCCATGCTTTTTTGAAAAAAACAGCATTCAAGCCATCACATCCTGGTGCTTTTCTATCATCAATATCCATCAAAGCTTGGTACACTTCAACCCTTGATATTGGCTGAATCAACCCTCTTTGTTGTTCCATAGTTAGCAGTGGTCCTTCCTTAAGTACAGAAGGATCAATGGCAGGCAGGGTATATGTTGATGTGCCAAGTAATTTCTCATAATATCCAGTTATTTCCTTTATTATCTCAGCTTCAGTATGGAGTCTCTCCCCCTGATCATTTTTAAGATTCCTGATGTGATTCTGTGAATACCTTTGCTTCATGGAGGCAAAGAAGTAGGCAGTATTAGAATCACCTTCTTTTAGCCACTGAATTCTAGACTTTTGCTTGTATATGCTTTCCTCGATACCACCCCATTTCTCCAATTGACATTTTAATTCCCTTTCTTCCTCCATTAGCATGGTGTTCAGGTAGTCGGCACTTAACTTCTCTTGCACCTCTTGTAGATGTAGTCTGACCTCCTTAATCTTCTTATCTACACCAATGAACTGCTCAGTATTGAGTCTTTTCAGATTCTGTTTAACCCCCATTAGTTTGTCCCATACTGCTCCCATGTTCTTCCTATTCGTATGTATGCTCCATCCCTCCTCAACTGCCTGTCGGAATTGTGTATGTTCAGCTATGCAATTGAAGAATTTAAAAGGCTTTCCTCCTCTTCTAGGTGATTCGGTGAAACTGATACTCAACTGTGAGTGATCAGAAAAGTGAGGCTCCAAAATATGAACTACTTGTGTGGTCATTTGATATCCAATCTGCATTTGCAATGGCTCTATCGATTTTGCTATATGTGTGGCTATTTTTCCATGTATACTCCCTTCCAAATGTTTTAACCTCACAGAATCCTGTATTCATTAAGAATTCCCTGAAGTCTCTTGTCTCATATTCTTGTACAGGTGAACCATGCATTCTGTCTTCTTGATGTAAGAGAGTGTTGAAGTCCCCCATAATGATCCATGGACCCTGTTGTATTTGTGTTATGCTTCGTAGACTTATCCACATGCTTTTCCTATCCTGAATTGAGTGAAGACCATAAACAGCTGTGAAGTGGAAACTCAGGTTCAGATCATATATCTTAGTCACCCCATGTATATACTGTATCTCTTTAGTGAGCAGAACAAAATCTATACGTCTTGGATCCCAGATTATCCATGTTCGCCCTTTATTATTAGAGCTAGCATTGGAAATCCATCTCCAACCTTGAGCTATCTTCTGGATTATTTTGGTTTCCAACTTTTCTACTACTCTATGCTCCAGTATGGCTAATAGCCCTATTTTATTTTCCTTTATAACTACTTTTAACTCCTTCTGCTTATATGCCTTATTAAGGCCTCTCACATTCCAAGTAACTATATTCATGCTTGGTTAGGTTGAGAGATTTTGGCCGCCTCGTTCCCTTTGTTACCACATCTTGCTTACATACAAGCATAACTATGGATTTGCTCTGTAAGCACTGGCTCTGCATTACTGCTCATTTGCTCGCTTAGAGGTTTAAACCCATTGGTTGTATCTAAGCAACTCTCCTCCCTGGGATTCTTAGTTGCTGATTTGCCTCTTACTACTTGTCATCCATCTTCCTTCTGATACTCATTTGTTAGTACTTTGTTGTTGCCTTCACCTGTTTTAAGTTCAACCTCTTTGGTTGTAGGTTGGACAATAATTCCTTTTGGGAATATTTAATGCACATGTATTTTCGCTGCTCCTCCAGATTTGCTTAGGCCTTGTAGTCCTTCTTGGAGCTGGTTGAATTGGTCGTTTTTGAGCTGGTACATGGTTACAATTATGGCCAACTTGAAGGCATATTGTGCAATACTCGGGCTCCCATTCATATTCATTACCTGTTCAAATACTCTTCCACTAAGGTCCTGCACTTTGACACTCCTAGGCAAAGGTCTGGTAACATCAATCTTGACAAGCAACCTAGCATATGAGATTCTAGCGGACAATGTTGTGCAATCATCTGCATAGAGGGGGTTTCCTAGTGCACTGCCAACTTTGCTTAAACATTTCATTGTCCAGCAGTTCAAAGGCAAATTTGGTAGCATGATCCACAATGGAACAGTGCTCAATACTTCCTCATACAAGTTGAAATCCGGAGCCCATGGTTTCATTATCACAGATCTACTATTAATCGTGTGGGGGCCAGAATAGAATACCTCATTTCGTTCATCCATATTGCTGAATTTGATCACGAAGTAATCGTCATTGTGGTAAAATATCTGTGGTTTATCTACAAACCTCCAGTGAGTATTAAGAAACCTTTCCATAGCTCCAATCGATGGGGAAACTCCAATAACGTACACTATTATCGGTGTTTTCCATTTCATGTTCCCTTCTTCTGTGTCTTCTGGATCCAATTGAACAATTTTTTCACCCTTGTGAATCATCGGGGCTATGAATTGTAAATTCATACCCTTCGAGGCCAGTTTGTTACCCGCAACAACTCCAGCCCAAGTCTGTGAACCCATAGCCGGTTGATTATGCTCAAATTCCCCCTGTGATTCAGTTTGCTTGTCCTTACCATTACTTACTGTCACTTCTTCTTCATTGTTCCTCCTAGCTGGACTGGTATTCCCTGTTGACATTCCACTATCGGGGCTGGAGATGGACTCAATCGGAACCAATTTTCCCTTCCCCGACCCAGACGCCTCGCTGGTCGGTGTCATCACCTTCATCGTTGGTGCTGGTGGTGATTTCGTGCCGGATCCAGCAATCACTACTCCTTTCGGAGAACTGGTAGAAGCTTTCCCTGATAACCATCCGTCACCCCTCGGCTCTGAAATCGAAACCCTGTTCGAGTTCCTCTTAGGTCTGCCTCTCCCCATTTTCGGTCCAGAAGCGCACGTTAGCCAATGTGTTTGTTAGTGTGCATCATGTTAGAAGGTAAGAGAACTCTAAAAGTGTATGTTGCTATTGCTGCATGCTATTCTACTTTGCGCTTCTTGAGCCAAAAAGTAGTCAATTTTTTCTCTTGTTTCTCTACTCTTATGAATAATATGAGCAATAAGTCAACAACTATGCTACAAGCTGCAGTACTGAATGACTAAACTCGAGACTTATATCGTTTTAAGTGTAGATAAATTCGAGAATGAAATCCACAGCATAATGACATGTTATAAAATGTTATAAACGTGTGTGCCCTTTGACTAGTTAACCATCAGTGGATAGCGCTTGGGAAAATACATCATTCATAGACACGGTAGACAAGTGAGCACACATACTTGCAAGAATTACTATATGCCTCCAAATTAAACATCAAGTGCAACGGGAGTCCAGCCTGATTGCACAAGCTTTTATAAACATAGAACACCATCAAATGTAACAATCAAGGCCGGCTCAACAAAGTTGGTGGCTTAAAGTGAAACCTTAATAAAAGGCCTTAAACTTTTTTTTAAAATTTCATACATGTTTTTATTTGAAGTCTATCTTCCTAACTTTTTGAGATGCAAAGTTATAAGTAATTCTTTTGTAATCGATTTCTTCTAACAATTTTTTTCATTGATAGTATATATAATTAATCAATTTAATCTCCCTCGATATACTATTGATCTTAGGTAAGATTTTATCAACTTTAATTTTGAAAAACGTCATTCCGCATCTACAGTTTTTACAGGAACTATTAACATTACTATATAAGCAATATAGGCATTTGGAAAAGAATTAAGTTTTTTATCTGGTTGAATACAGTGATTAGAGTATTTTCTTCTACTTGTACTATTTTGCTTAACACATTTAAGTTGGCAAATAAATTTAAACCATCATTATTGAGTGACTATTATGTTTTAAGAATTTTTTGAGATTAAGGCAATATTTTCAAGATTCTTATCACCTAGTCATCTCAAATTGTTATCACCAAATAGAAAATCAAAACTATTTTCACACGCTTAGAATTGTCACATCCATTTCGAAGATTTATTTATTTTACTTTAAAATTCTCATTATTTCCAAAAATAATAATCATAAATCTACTACTAGTGAAAAATAAGGCCCAAAATTTTGAGGCGTAAGCCCTTGCTTTATTTGCCTTACCCTCAGGCCGACACTGGTAACTACTCCCTCCGGTCCACTTAAATTGATTTTTAGTTGTTTTCACACATATTAAGGAATACACCTTTTAGCATTAATTAATAATGAAATTGACCGTATTAACCTTAATTTGTTCATTGGAAATATAACAAATACTTCAAGGTTCTTTACTCCAAGGGCAACTTTGGGGAATAAAAAAGGTTAATTCTTTCTCGATACCTGAAAAAAATCAAATATCGTGGACCATAAAAAAAGGCCAAAAAATCAATTAAAGTGGACCAAATGGAGTAGTTATTTTTTTGTTTTACATTTGTTATAATTAAATGGCACTTATTCTTTCAAATATAAAAGGTGTCAACTTTTTGGTGACGGAAGAAAAATGAAATAGTGTCCTATAAAATGAGAGGGAGGGAATTTAGATTTTGTAGATTGGCTTCGCATTAAAAGTAATACAGGATCCATTCAAAATAAGTCCTCTGCCATAAACATCCTATCTAGTCTAGTAATAATAAATCAGCAAACCAGCGCCACAAAATAAAGTATTACAAATCAAACACAGAGTACAACCATGTCAAAGTAAAAAAGCAGAGTAAGGAGTACCAACCAGGACATAGAGCACAGAGGCGATGATAATTGTACGGTACCGACCCAAGAAGGAATCTGCGATAAACGCACCCAGTAGCGGCAAAAGGAACGCCGTTCCAGACCAGGCGTTCACATTGGCCGCCGCCGTCGCCGTTGACTGGCCAATTGGGCCCGTCAAGTAGTTTATCAAATTCGAACTTATCCCGTAATATGCAAATCTCTCCGCCACTTCCACACCTAACAATAGTTATTTGTTGTTTTAAAAATGTTAAAGAATTATTTGCTGCTTTAAAAGACAGAGATGGTTAAGTTGCAGGAAATTTTGATAAAGTGAGTTTACCAATGATGAAGTATGCGGAATTCCATCCACCGGATTTGGATCGGGTCACCTGACGACCCTTGTAGTCGATGAAGCCTTCAACCACTTCGCCGCCAAGAAATGGTGTTTCGGCGTCGGAGATGTTGGCTCCGTTGGCCATGAGGTGACCACGACAGTAGCTGAATTCCAACTACTGCTTCACTGTTGGGTGACGTAACAGCGCTATTTTTTTTTAACTTGTCTTTTTTGTTCCACTCTTTTTAGTGGAAAAATTATTAAATTTTCTCTTATGGTAGTTCTTTATTATTATGTCTTTTATAAATATAAAAAAATAGTTCATTTTTACACATAAAATTTTTTAAAATAACACACAAGAGAAAATGTTTCTTCTATTCAAGTTATAAATGGTCACAGGAGATTAATTTCTCTTATTTTTTTGCAATGTTTTTGTAGTGCATTCTCATTCATGATTGGTGCCGCAATAGTTAAGCAGTCAACAAGTTATAAATGTTACTCCATCCTTTTCAATTTATATGACAACAGTTCTTTTTTAGTCTGTATTAAAAGAAAAGCAACTTTCTAAATTTAGAAAACAATTAAGTTAAATTTCTATTTTACCTTAATGAAAAACTTTTTATATTACTCCCTTCTTTCACTTTTACTTTGCATGTATACTAAAAATAGATTTTTATTTTTACTTATCACTTTACGCATATCAAGAGAAGATAAAAAAAAATTCCTGTTATACCCACAGTATTTATTACTCATTTCAAATAATTTTCTCAAATTCAATAAAATATGTATCAATTAATATGGGTATCATAGTAAATTATGCACTTCATTTATTATTTCTTAACGGTTGTGAAAAGTCAAAATGTGTCAAGTAAAAGTGAACGGATAGTACAAGTTTCCAAAATCTTATATTCGCAAGATTTGGTAGATCTACCCATCTCATTCTTTGATCTGTCATATACTATTGTGTTGATCATACACAAGATTTTTTCTCGATATAGACTACAACTATCCTAAAATTAATCTTTTTCTTAAAAAATATCAAGACATTCATTTTTGGGCCACAATGGCAGAATTTATATACCATGGTCCTTAACCTATAGATTTTTTCTTCCTCCAAACAAAGAGGGGTTGTGGCCTCCTTGTGCAATTGCTACGAGAAACACCGGATGCTCATGGGAATACAGATATACCATAGAGTAGATATTGAGGTACTAACCACCAGATGCTCATGGGAACAGTTGCCATATGATTGTCGACCAGCCCTTACTCTAGAGCAGTTTGTAGACGATATCGCTCACCTATGGTTGCAGTTACAATGGCAACTATATGAAAGGAACAAACCTAGCTGTAAAATGAAAAAAAAATACTTAACGAAGAAAGAGAACAATATGCAAAAGGCAAAGAAGGAAATATATGTTGCACCAAAAGTTAGCAGCAACAAAATTCACAGTGTGAGGAAAGAAGAAAATGTGTGAGTTAATATCGGTGCATGCAAGAAAAGAAGCAATGTTCATATTCTGATATTTTCCTATAATTAGGCATCCCTTTCCTCAATTGTAAATCATCCCTCAAATTTCTTCAGAGTAATAAAATATTCTCTGTGTGGCCGTGGAATAGACAAAAATTACCGAACCACGTAAATCTTGTCTTGTCTTGTTTTACGAGTTTTAATTATTTTTCTCTTAAAATTATTATATCCTTCATTTAGTCCGACACGCTTCCCAATAACTGGTATCAGAGCATAGATAGTGTAATTCTGGTAGAAAAATACGGTATTGGTATAGGTACTATTTACAAAAATAGTGCGACATTATTGATCATCAATACTAACACTATTCACAATAGTGAAATACTATTCATTAATAGTGATAGTATTGTTCACCAATAGTGATTGTTGTCTACCTTATACGATTGAGACCTTTTTCTTACATAGAGTAGTATTTTTGCGGTTACTATTCACATAAAAAATTATGAAAAATGGCATTGGAAGAAGGAAAGATTAAGATTGACAAGTTCAATGGCAAAGATTTAGGATTCTGAAAAATACAAATAGAGAATTATTTGTACTAAAAAAAATTACACTTACCTCTGACAGGGTAAAATCAGATAATATGGCCAAAGTGGATTGGGATATTAGATCGCCAAGCTCTTGGTGTGATTCGTTTGACGCTGACACGAAATGTAGCGTTCGACATCATTAATGAAAAGACCATTGCAGGCCTGATAAAGGCATTATCAAATATGTACGAGAAGTCATCTGCTTCAAATAAAGTCTATTTGATGCGTTGATTGTTCAACTTGGAGATGCCAAAAGGTGGATCTGTTATAAAATATATCAATGAGTTTAATATAATATTAACTCAATTGAGTTCTGTTAATATAACATTTGATGACGAAGTCAGGGCGTTGATTCTACTATCATCTCTAACGGAGAGTTGGTCTGCAACAGTAACTACAGTTAGCAATTCATCTGGAAGTACCAAACTCAAATTGGATGATATTAGAGACTTGATTCTAATTAGCAAAGATATTCGCCGGAGAGAATCAAATGGTTCCCCAGGATCTGCTTTTAATATCGAAAGTAGGGGGAGAAGCAGCCAAAGAGGACAAAGTCATGGTCGTGGCAGATCAATATCAAGGAGAAGAGGGCAATCCAAGAATCGCAAAGACATTACTTCTTGGAATTGCAATAAAAAGGGTCACTACAGTAGTCAGTGTAGAGAACTAAAGAAGAAGAAGGATGAAAATTCAGCAAATGTAATTGCTGAACATGTTGGTGATGCACTAATTTGTTGCGCAGACAGTCCAGTCAAATCTTGAATTCTGGACTCAGGTGCATCCTTTCACTCTACCTCATGTAAAGAATTATTGCATATTTATATTGCTAAAAGATTCGGAAAGGTTTATCTATCAGACGGCGAACCTTTGAATATTGTCGGAAAAGGTGAAGTTCATATAAAGACTTCACAAGGGATACTATGGAAATTGCAAAATGTCCGACATATTTCTGGCCTCAAGAAAAATCTGATATCCATGGGTCAGATTGATAGTGAAGGATACACAACAGTATTCAGTAACGGATCGTGGAACCAAAGGAAATTTGGTTATGGCACGAGGCTTCAAGAAAGGAACATTGTATGCAACCGCAATACAGAGAGATACTATAGCAGTAGTTAACCATGGTCGTGACACAATATTGTGGCACCATGAGTGAGAAGGGAATGAAGTTGTTGGTATCTAAAGAAAGGTTGCCAAACCTCAAACATGTTTAATTAGGTTTGTGCGAAGATTGCATTTACGAGAAACAAAAAAGAGTTAGTTTCTCAAAGGCGGGAAGGACGCTAAAGAAAGAGAAACTAGAACTAGTGCATACGAATATATGGGGACCAGATCCTGTAACTTCTCTGGGAGGCTCACGCTATTATATCACCTTCATTGACGATTCCACGAGAAAGGTATGGGTTTATTTTTTAAAAAATAAATCTGATGTGTTTGTTACCTTTAAAAGATGGAAAGCTGAAGTTGAAAATGAGACAAGCCTAAGTTAAAATGTCTAAAGTTTGACAATAGAGGAGAATATGATAGTCAAGAGTTTCAAGCATCATGCTCTGAGAATGGATCAGAATGATCAAGACGGTTCCTAGAACACCTGAACAAAATGGCATTGGTGAGAGGATGAACAAAACCCTGAATGAACGAGCCCAAAGTATGAGAATATATTTTCGGTTGCTGAAGTATTTTTGGGTTGAGGCTGTTCACATGGTGACTTACCCCATAAACAGGGGACCCTCTGTACCGCTAAATTTTGAAATTCTTAAGGAGGTATGAATACGAAAGGAGGTAACTCTCTCACATCTTAAAATCTTTAGTTGTGTTGCTTATATGGATATAAACTCCAATGATAGAGACAAGCTTGATCCTAAAGCCAAGAAATATTTCTTTATTGGCTATGGTGATGATAATTTTGGTTGTCGATTTTGGGATGATCAGAATGGAAAGATCTTAAGACACAGGAATGTCACATTCAATGAAAATGTGATGTACAAGGACAAGCTTGGAGTAGAACCAACCAACACCAGCAGATAGACATCTGAAATAGTTAAATTAGAAGAAATCTTAGAAAATGAAGTGGCTAGAGAGATTACAACTTATTCTGAAATTGAAGATGTATAACCAGAAGCTGAATCTGGATCAGAACCAGAATCAGAATCAGAACCAGAACCAGAACCAGAGGTAGAATCAGACGGAGAACCACATCTGGAGCCAGGACTTGAATCAAATTCGGGGTCAGTTATTCCTGAACCAACATTAAGGAGATCTAAAAGAGTCACAAATGCTCCAGATAGGTTAACTCTCTCTCTCTCTCTCTCTCTCTCTCTCTCTCTCCCCCTATTTACTTCTGACTGATGCTGGAGAACCATAGCATTTTATTGAAGCAATGCAGATGATAAACTCTAATAAGTGGAATCTAGCCATGAAAGAAGAGATGAATTCTCTTCAAAAGAATAAAACATGGATACTTACAGAGCTCCAAAAGGAAAGAAGGCATTGCAGAATAAGTGGGTGTACAGGGTCAAGGAAGAGCATGACAGTAAGAAGAGATACAAAGCACGATTAGTAGTAAAAGGATTTCAGAAGAAGGAAGGGATTGGCTATACCGAGATCTTCTCTCCTGTAGTCAAATTAACTACTATCAGGTTTGTGCTAAGTATCGTAGCTACAGAAAAATTACATTTGGACCAGCTAGATGTTAAAACTACTTTCTTGCATGGTGACCTTGAAGAAAATATCTATATGAAGCAACCTGAAGGTTTTCAAGTTTTTGGTAAAGAAAACCTTGTGTGTAAGTTGAAGAAGAGTTTGTATGGTTTGAAACAAGCTCCCCGACAATGTTACAAAAAATTTGATGGATTCATGCATAACAATGGTTTCACACGATTTGAAATAGACCGTTGCTGTTATGTCAAAAAGTTTGTTGAATCCTATATCATTTTACTATTGTCCGTTGATGATATGATAATTGCAGGATCTAGCATAAATGATATTAGCAGGGTTAAGCAACAATTAGTGGAGGAGTTTGAGATGAAAGACCTAGGACCATCTAAGCAAATGCTGGGGATGAGAATTAGTAGAGACAGGTCTGAAGGAACCTTAAATCTGTCTCAAGAGAAGTACATACACAAGGTACTAAGCAGGTTCAGTCTTCATGATGCGAAGACCAGAAACACTCCACTAGGAAGCCACCTCAGTTTGTCTAAGGA